CCCCCCCCCCCCCCCAAAAAAAACCCCTTACACGTAGAAGACAAGCCTATCATGACCATGGTTGCTAAGACTATCAACCTGCCCTGCTAAATTTCCATGGAAGGGAACTGTAATAGGAGAACTTCCAAAGGAGTAAACCAGGGACGAGGTTTATTTTTTTCTAACTTTGTCTCTGATAGGCCAGCTTTCTATAAATATCTTCTTCCTCAGCTGCTACCACTGTAGAGTTATACATCACTGCCTTAATGGCCAACAGTGTTAGAGGACCATCATGAGTTTTAGGTGCTGTAGCAAATCTATTCGACTTTTTCTTAAAGCAAGGTTATCTGCAACAGCGACTGCTCTCTGCAACAGCGCTCAGTCAAGAGGCATTGCTTCAGAGAAACGGTGGTCTTTTGGCCCTGGGGAGGGGGTTACTTTCATGTTTGTCACAGTGGGGAATGATCTGTTTAATCCTGTTTGAACTATTGAGAGTTGTAATAGACTTCGGGTTTTTTTGCTTTATGAAAGCTATGTGTGTGACCTTGGACGAGCAAGTTTCCAGTGGCTTCTGCCAGATTTGATTTTGGCATATGCCAAAAGGTGAAAACAGCAGGTAGTGAAAACGTTTCTACTGGTATCCCTGGAAGAACCCCGATTACTTTTTGCACTAAGCTTGGAAAGGTTACATTTAACCTATCCCTCTTTAGTGCCCCACCACCAATTTTTTTTGCTGTGGTAAATGTAGACCGCGAAAATCTCCAAAGGGCACCCATGGGAGCTTTCTGAAGCTGGACATGGGACAATGGAAACCCATGGATCTTCCTCCGTGTCTGCTGGATGGCCCTGCAGAGAAGTGCTGTGCTTACACTCCCACGACCTCCGAGATGATGCAGAATCCTAACACGTGCCCCGCTTAAAAGTTGCGATTCCTTTTTCTTTACCACGTTGCTGTGATTGACGGTTCACCCCCAGCTTGTTGCAGTGAGCAAAAATGAAAGACGCAGAAATTGGAACAGAGAAGAATGAGGGTCCAGTTCAGATCTTTTTAATACAAGCGTATATCACTGTGTTGGAGTCATAGTGGTTCCTGGGAAAAGTCCATTAAGGTGAGCTGAATTATGGAAAGGATGTTATATACAAAACCACACTGTTTGATATCGGTGCATACAAGGTATTATATTTATATAATATAGAACTTTAACATACAGGAAGAGACAGTGGGAAAATAGTTCCGATGCATATTGACGTTATTTTTTCCAAGAAATCAAAAATAGCTAGTTACTTTTAAAAAAAAGTGGGAGGGGAGGAACTCATTTAAAAAGACCAGACCTGTTTCAAATTTATAAAGACGACCTGAACAGAAAAAGAAAACCTCAGGACAAATGTAACCAACCTCCCCCCGCCCCAAAACCTGTACTGAACAATAACAATAATTATAATAATAAATTAGATGAACAATTGTGTAAATATAATTTTTAAAAATGACCATCTTAATAAATAAGCTTTTTTTTTTTTTTTACTATTTACATCTTTATATATTGCTTGAAGATTTAAATTAGATTTGTTAAAACAAATGCAGCAACAAAACAAATAAAAAAGGGGGGCCGAAACCCAACGAACTGGAGCAGCAAACTTACAGGTGTGAGGTACAGATGTAAGATTTAAACTGTGTTCTTTTTCTTTTCTTTTCGCTTTGCTTTGCCCATCTCTTCTTCTTCTCAACCCCTTCCTTTCCTTTTTATACAGTAGACCAGTAGAAATCTTATGAAAACAGTTGCAGTAATGGGAGGTTTGGGGAATATTGATGGATGTTGGGGTGGAGCGCGGTGCAAAACAAATTCCGTAATGAAAATACGACAGTAACCATTCCTAACTATAACAGAAATAAAAATGATACAATAGGGTAATATCCATATGAAGGAATGCTTGGTAGTAAGACTATTATACATATATAGATATATATTTCACTAGAAGAGGTCA